TGTCTTAATGAGAACAAGTTCTGTCATACTGCTACTGCACCATTACTCTTCCTGCAGGCATTACCTGTGCTTCAGCCAGTCCATGATATCTTGAAAGTCCTGTGGCATATGGATCCTCCGAGGTATCGACTGCAAGCTTTTAGACATACTGTTTTCAGGAAATTTTCCTATTCCTCCCCTGATCCGTTTATGATTATTTCATCCCAGCTCACTCCCCTCTGAAAGCATTCAGGAAGTTTCCACATACTTCTCATTCCACTCTCGCACTCCCTTCCCACACCTTTAAAAAAACCAACAGAAGATGAAAGCAATCTCTAGTTACAGGGCTGTCACATCAGCTGTTCCTCTCCCTCCCTTCACACAACTGGATGGTTTTTCTCCGAATTCCCTTCAGGTGTTAGATGTTGGTCCCACCCCTCAGGTGAAGTTAAGTGACATGGCTGCACACCAACAGGTACTTAGGTCTCCCTGTAATATCCCCACTGACCTCTGCATTCCAAAGGTGTGGGCAACAACCTTCAGTCATCGGTTAAGAATCCTGTCCTGAGAGCTTAAGCTCAAATTTGAGAAGTCTTCAAATGCACCAATGTGCACCTCAACCAGCTCTGCCTTCAGGTGCAACCAGCAGGGTCAGCCTTCTGCCAAGCTCGTCACTTTGTCACAGCCAAACGGGTTAGAGGTCTAGGGGAAACAAATGCAACACTGTCACTGGCACTTTGCCAAAAGAAGAAAACCAAACAATCTTTCTTAAAAGAGAGACTCTAGATACAAAGCAGCTAAGGATTAGATAGGACTAGCAAAGCACTTAAGAAACCTTAAAACTAATCTATCCTCAAGAACCCTTTTTTACTCTATTGAAAAGCCTCAGAAACAATAAATACTTTGAAGTGGCATCTTGGAAATTTGTCAAATAGCATTCTCTATTTATATCATTCTGCTTCCTGTACCACGTATATAGCACTACAAAACACTTTAATAGTCACTTGAATTAATTTTTTTTTTCCCTAATTTTCTCTAACTGTGCAATACTAAATGTAAAAATGGTCCATACGAGAAGGAATACTATGTTAAACGTATTGCATGTTGGAAGTGCAGACATTGTATCTCATCCTCTGAACAAATACCAGCTAAATTGTGGGAAAACACCTGAAAAATCTCTAGGTAACTCAGTTGTTCCAGAGTTGTTCCATCCACTGTAAGGCATCACACCATACATTAATAAAATGCTGACTCTGAAGAACAGCAGCATCTGACTCTCTGTGGTCACACAGACAGAACAGGTATTAAGGTCAAGCTTTGAATGAGAAATCACTTAAAGCCAGGATTTTCAAACTCTGTTTTTCAAAGGCACAAAAGAGATTGAACATTCGAAATGCAAACAGGTCAGCTGCAGAGACACTTAACAGGCTTCACGTGGCAAAGGCAAGGGATTAAGCGACAAGATTAAAAGGCACAGTTACTCCCACAGACTGGCAAGCAGGTTTCACTGATAACAGTTCTCAGTTGCTCACATTTCTGTAACAGTTACCTGAGCAAAGCAAGGCTATGTTTTGTCTTCCAGGCAGTTTTTCCTCCCCATATCAAAGTCATGAGACTGTCTAGAATACAGAAAGCAATATGTCCTTTGTGGCCAAAGCATTCAGCCTTTTTTATAGAAAGATTAGTTGCTTTTTTTTTTTTTTTTTTTTTCCCCACACCCAAAAGCTTTGCTTTGTTGAAAGGAAAAGCCTTTTGTCAGTTCCTCTGTTTGGAAACTTCAAAGGTTAAGAAACAGCCTTATATTCTGTTTTTAGACAGCAGTGCTTCCTGGGAGCTTTATTCCACATTGCACCCGAAACATCAAATACTTCAGTTCCCCAAAGCCCATCTCTGGCATTATGCCACAGCCTCACCTTTAGTTTTTTTAATTAGAGTAACTAGAAATAGGACTTAAACCATAGTTCAGCATGCAACTACAGTCTGTCCTGTTACATTATGACAGGCAAAATAAGCTATGTTAATTTTAGAAAAAAAACCAAGTTATTTCCATCATGCCTAAAACTTTACTAATTTAAACAGATGGCTTAACACAAAAGGAGAATGAAAGAAGTGGGAATGTTTCCAGTATGATAAAAGAAAAATTAAATTCAAGCTTACCTTCTGAAGGTAATCACATACCAAGTGATACAAGGGTTTTTACATACACATTTAAAACATTCACAACCACCCAAAGAAAGAAATTAAGAGTGATGATTATGTAGTTTGTAGTGTTGATTAAGATGCTATAGAAAGGTTTTATAAATTGCCTGCCCCTCTCTTTTAAAGGCTGATAATTATTACACTATTTATTGAGAGTATCCTGTTAAGTAAGTTTTTTTAGGTAGTTACTTTAAGTTGTCTACTGAACAAACAAGTATTCTGCAGGGTCAAGTGAATGGTTCCCTGCAGCAGGCCTGACAGCCTGTTCCACTTAACAGCTCCATTACATTAGAATACATAGTAAGACCACAAAAAAAGCCAGGAGCAGCTAATCCAGCTCTTTACTGTTGTCCATAAAGCTGTGCAGTAATAAAACAGTCCAATCTAGTTGTAGATTACATACATCCATTTTTTTAATTATTATTTTGTTAGATTCTGAAGTAAAGTTCAAAGCACACTAGTGAAGCTGCAGAGTAACCTGCTTGCCAGACTTGTAGTTCCTGGGTGACTACCATCTTCAGCAAGTTGGAAAACAAAACTACTGTAACTGAAAAGTGACTTGTTAACAGTAACACTCCATTTCAGAATGAGACTGAACCTCAGGAGGAACACCTTACCTCCATCTCTTGTATTTACACCGCTTCCTCCGTGTTTTCCTTTGGGCTGATAAATAGTACAATTGCCTTCCAAAATCAACCCTAAACATTATGGTCTATGAAGAGCACTGAGAGATACTGAGTACATCTGCTAAAAATTGTGACAACTCATTCTCCAAAATGGCAGGTTGTGGATTTATGGTGTTTCTTTTGTCTTCACTAACTCCCAAATTTTAGCTCTCTGCACTGTCTGGATAATTTAACTTATTGTGACACAGAAAGTTAAGGATTCCAGGACACTTTTTTCAGATCTTCAGACAAGGACAAGAGTTATGCTTGCTTGAAAATTTTATTGACACAACTGTTTGGTCCCAACACACAAAACAGCACTTGAGCCACAAAAGAAAGTGTCTGAACAAAGTAGATAGCTAAGAGAAGAATTTTCTCATCTCCTTCCCGTTCCAAGAAAAAGATAACTGAGGGCTTCAGTGACTTTTTTTTTTTTTAAACAGACATCAATCTCAAGTAGTACATTTAATTGTTAAATTAAACATATTCATGGTTGCAATGCTTTTCAATCTGTAAGTCACATCATTCATTTAACCCTTTTGATAAAAAAATATATTGCAATTCAATTAGCTATTTTGTTACACTATGAACACAACTTCTCAAAGGTATTATTCTATTACTTTCAAACAGCAATTTGATCAGAATCACACATGAAACCAGAAGAGATACGCTGACCTCCAGAAGTGGTACACCCACCCCATCCACTCTGACAAATACTGTAGTTTCCTCTGAAGCAAAAAAAGTTTCTTTTGTATTCCAGGTGACTTGTAGCTGCACCTCATAAAAATATCATTTCAGGTTGATCTTTTCTCCAATACATGCTCTTCTGAAACAAAGATCTAGACTGATCAGTGTTAACCTTACCAAACTTAAGGAAAGCAGATGTTCTTGCATTTAACTCATTAAAAAGCATTCTGAGAAAGCTTACTTCTAAATTTGTTTCTATAGCAGTATGTCTGTAGAGGTTTACTAAGGACTCAAAATACTGTGCCATAATGCTCAGAAAAACTTCCAAGTGTTTCTCTGCATTCACAGTGGCTATAAGTTCACTTCTGGTAATGCTTGCCTAAATTTAAAAGATTTTATAACAAAATCTGCCTAGTAAAATTCTTCTATAGCCATTATTCAGTGGTGTTTCCTGTTGCTGGCTGAGAAATTAGAGCCCATGTTCCATCTCTTGCCTATACTACAATAGAATCCACCTTAAAAATATTCAGTTGGTCAGTGGAAAACCTCTAGTATAGGTTCTTTCAACATTACAAGCAATTTGCTGCCTGGCAAATACAACCCATTGTAAATGCCACGGTTACCCAGAATGGGTATAAAGTCTCATACATTGGACATTTCTGCTAACTAGAGTTAAGGTCATCCACTAACTTAAGCACTCTTCCAAAGCTGGCCCTTTCAAAAGTCAACACAAGATACCACAAATAGAAAACAGCTTCCAACACTAGAAGTAAGTTTTTGAATAAAAACAGACACAGCTAAAAAGACAGCACATCAAAGAATAAGCTTCCCATTCACTGAACATGCTTAAAAATAGGAAACAAGGTTAAGCAGAAAAACCTTAGCATTTCCACATGTAGTTAGAACTTTCCTTACAGGTGGAAATAGCATCAAAACCTCCCATCCCAAAACATTAATAACACCAGTTCCATTAATTTATGCATTAAATGCATATTTCAGAAATAGAGTCTTCCTAACTTCATTTCTAGACACAATAAAGATGTGTGTGTCTGTATCAAACCCATGACACCAAGATAGTTTTTTTCTTAACCAAATCCATGCCAGCCTGGAACAAAATATAAAAGGGAAGCTTAAAGCATCAATGTCCAAGAAAGCTCCTAAATGGAACCAAAAGCTATATTTAAAACAGGTTTTACAAAAAATCTACACAATCTTCTACAGACATCTTCAGACAAAAGAATTTCCAATGCAGTTACAAGTCATCTGAAAGGTCAGAACAAGTTCCTCCTCTGGAGTACAATTAACTCCTCCACTCCTGTCATTCCAGGTCAGCGAGTTAAAATTTCTCAACAGGCTTTTGAAAGACAGATCATGCATTTTATTAATACTGTCTGAAACAATACCAGTAAGCAACAGCCTATAAGAATACGATATGCTACATGTATGATTACACCACCAATGAGGCTTAAAGAAAATAAAATCTGTTCCATTTTAGTTCAATTGATATTTTGATTTTTACTGAACACACATTTATGAAAAACTGTAAAATTCAAGAATAATTTAACGAATGCCAGAATTTTTCTCAAAATAATAGAAAATATCTGCTCTAACAGCTGTGTTCAGTGTAAAAGGAACAAAATCTTCACAGAATACATTAAATACAAATTAATTCTTCTAGGCCTTTCATTAAAATACAGAAGGGCTAGCAAACAGATTTATTTGTGCCGAGTCCATAGGTACTTATCTTTCACACTAAAAAGAAAGAGTTAAAGCTTGGTTACAGGTGCAAGTGAAAAGTTTGCTGCCAATTTCACTTTGTTTTTGTGTTGCTTTTTGGCTGGGCTGTCCATTGCTTCCTTGTTTACTTGGGTTTCAGAGGACTGAGAGGGAGGCACTGAAGCATTCTCTGTGGTATTAGCTATCACAGAACCAGAGGTCAATTTTTCTTGAGTTGTGGTAACAATTCTTTGTTTTTCTTCTTCTGTTAAAATCATTATTTCTAAAAAAAAAAAAAAGACAACTCAATTTATTGACGCTCTCTTCTTGAAAAATAAGATTTCCCTGGTAACAGGCAATAGAATATTTAAAAAGAACTTGTCATCCTGATTTGAAGCCATTAGATGTGTCATGTTCACCTCTACAACTGATGTGATTCTTGTTTCTGCCTCTGTCTGGATCAGGTACTATTTAAGTGGTTTAATTTTATTCTCACATATGAAGTCTCTGGTGCTCAGAAAAGCACTGTGAAATTACTGTGGTGAGAAGGTTGCTACGTGTCAGCAAAAGGCCAAATTTTAGTGATGGATAAGGTCCTTCTAAACCTCACCCCAGAGAATCACAGTAGGGTACTCACAGTCAGTGCTCAAGAGCTTCTGCTGGAAGCCACCTGCACTTCCACACATCCCGCTGTGTGACACAGGTGTGTACTGGAGGGGAGCTCCACACAAATCCAACCACTCCCCTGCTGCCCCCCCCGCGGGGTACGGGGCACCCCGAGCAGCGCCGGCGCTTACCCGAGAGCGGGGCGGGGCGCTCCTCAAACTGGATGAGGTCCGCGGACTCCAGAACCACGGGGTCGGGTCTCAGCTGGGGGGAAGGCAGGCAGGAGGGAACTGGCTCACACAAGAGGTCAACAGGAGATGTGTTTGTGAGGCAAAGGAGTTCTTGCTCGGTTTGATTCGTGGCTAAAAAAAATAAGGGAACATTCTTCAAAGTCTCTGTAAGCTGCAGAGGTGTCACTGTCACGGGTGGGAACAGTAAGTGCGAATTAACCTCAGATCCATTCAAGAGTTACTTTGCTGGATCAAGAGCATCTAATCAATTACAGTAGAGAAGCAAAGCAATAGTACATTAAACCTACTGCCTGCCCAAGTAAATGTACCCCTACAGTAAGATCTGGCCTTTGCCAAACTAGAGCAATACAAGAAGAGCTGAGGAAGTAAGTCCTACGGGAACAGTCTTTAACAGGAAAGTGTCAGTTATTAGACAAAGTCCCCTGCAGACATACCAATACTCTATCAACTATTTGTGCCATCTAAGACATTCACATGTGAAAACTGCGCTGAAAGTTTCAAAACAAAGGGACTTGCCCTTATTAGCCTAGACTTCTGAAATAACAGCTCAAGAACCATACCACAAGTTCTCCAACCTGCAAATGGCAGAAGAAGCAGAGACCACTATTTGCAAATAAGTAATAATACAACACACAAACACCACAAAAGAACACTGTATTCTCATCAGTATACAGAAGACATTCCTAGCAGGAGTTCCTGATCATCTTTTCTCATTAGTTTTATGCTTATAGACTTATATTTCCACTGAAATCCATGGGAAACAATACTCTAGCAGCCATGTATATTGACAGTTGAGTACAACAGATAGGTATGGGTCCTGTTGACAAGGGCAACTATATACTTCAGGAGAAGTTTAACAGCTTCAAAGCCATAAAACACTTCTGCAGAGGTTCAGACAGAATAACTCACACAGCTTTCCCCATGCTGCTTTGATTACTCTGCTTATTTCCCCTAAGGTAAGAAATTTTACATACATCAGTTTTGCATTACCATTGCTAGATGTTCCTAGACTTAGTTCCACTGATGAAGCAGATCCTGGGGTCTCCGTAATTTGTCCATTACTGCCAGGAAGTTGATTTCCGTGATCATCCACATGATCAGCAGGGGGAAAACTGGGTGAGCTAAAACGAGCTACAAAAAGGCAAGTTCATTTGGTTCGTTTACTCAAGTCACCTCTTAAAATAAAAAGGAAACTATGATACAGCTCAAAATCAAAGTGGCTTACTTTTCATATCGTTCTTTAGCACCACAATTCTCTTGTGGCCATGTCCTTTAATCCAGACAACCTATAAAGAAGAAAAAGCAGAATTAAACATCAGCACACATTAACCTCAAAGCCTAAAGCACCTTACTCACTGCCTTTCATCTAGCCTTGCACCAATAATATTTCTAAAAGTAAACTAAATCACGTCACTAATTTGCACTTCACTGTCTAAGTAAAAGCTTTGTCTCAAAACAATGCCAAAAGGCAAGCTACAGGGCTACAAAGGGACTAAATCTATATTAATGGAACTGTATGTCTAAACATGGAGTTGCAAAATTCTATTCGGTTGCTCTCCAAAAAAGATTAATTTACTTGAAAAGCTTACAACTTTAAACTAGGTCTCAAAATTATCCTAGAGCACTTAGGACATGTAGATTACAAGATACCACAGTAAAATTCCACCATGTAGCATTTATGACAAGGTCCCACAACTCTTCACTCCTAAAAGAAATAATCTACCCTGATCAAAATGAAGCTTCAATACTGTACAGTTATTTGCTCATTCAAGACACAAATCACTTATCTAATTTAATGAAGATGCCAAGGATGTTTGCAGCCTCATCAGAAACAGGTCTTAAGCAGTTTGACCAAAGCATGGAAAAAAAAAAAAAAAATCTTTTCCTTTAATTAGACAGTCCACATTTCTCAGAAGCTATTTAAAATACAAGCGGTATAAGCCTCCCTGGAGAAAGTAATTAAAGGAATTCACACAAATGAACAGAAAGTGCAGTTGTGAACAATTTATAATCCATGCAGAAATATCACTGTAATTGTGCAAAAGCAAATTCTTCAGACCTGTGGAATTGCTCCCAAGAGCTCTTCTAAATTATTGCATCCATAGGCCTTAGGTTGCAGCATTTCTCCTGTGTACTTGCTATACGCTGCTAGGAACTCATGAAGAAAAATTTGCTGATAATGGTAAGTGTGAAGCAAGGACCTTACGTTCTTCGCAAACATATACAGGTCTGTAAGCTTCACACACTCTTCTGCTGCATCATTGGTGAAAACCTGTTAGAAAAGAATAGTAAGAATTATTGTGCATGCTTCCATAGCCTCTAGTTACCTTGTCTTCTCAAAATATGGAACACTAGAAAGGAAAGAGAGCTCACATACCTCAACCAAGTAAGGCAGACTCTTCAGGAGCTCAGTTACGGTCACAAATCCATATTCACAGGGATTAAGTGAAGTACTATGGATGGTTTCATAACGCTGTTTGAGCTGTTCAACAGAGAGAAAGGATGCTCCATCCCAGGACATCAACAAGACTAGCAACTGGGCAGTGAGAGTCCGCAGAGATTTTCTATTTATCAGCTGAATTTGCTTGCCTGACTCTGTGTCAACAACCTAGAAAAATGAATTGGGAATGACGTAAGGGATAGGGAAGAGATTAATTTGTAAGTTGTGGAGCTGGGGTTAGTCTGAGCACAGCTGTATCAGATACCACATATCAGCAACCGATACTCCCCCAGCCAAAAGCATACAGAATAAAGCAGCTGTGGGGAAGCTTTTTTTACATGGAAAAAAAATTTACTTTAACTATACAGAAGCTGTGTAGCAGTTCACATGGTAGCCATCATTTTACTCTTTGTTTCAAGCCAGCTGGACCTGACTGAGCTCAAGCCTGAATACAGCTGCTAAGTTAACAGAATTGGAGCAACTAAGCCAGTATGCCCATGCTTGTATCGATGTAGCCTCTCTTTTCTACTGACATAAGACCATCTATGTATTTAGATGCAGAGTCAAAGCCTCAAACCACAGAATATAATACATTAGGAGACTGATAACTACTATGGTTATCAGGAAATGATTGCTTTTAAACAGTTAGAAGTCAGGTGGAAAAAAACAATTTGTATTGCTAAATAAAAGACTGTATTATAGTACTTGTTTAATTGCTTACTAAACAAGCTTGAGTTTTCCCAGAGCAAGTTGAAACACTACAAAAGAACAAAGAAAATATCACAGGAATATAGAAGCTATATTTAAAATCCTTTTGGAATTTCTCCTCCCCTCCCAGCTTAATGAAATATTGTTTCGAGAGTACACTATTAAGCACACTCAAACCTGTAATTTGAGACAACACAACACTCCATACCTTTTACAGGGATAAGTTACAAACATGAAAGGTAAAAGATTACCTTTACAACATGGCACAGTTTTTGCATTAAAGCTGGAACTGAGCTAACATCATAGTCATGAAGGCGCAGCGTGTATCCAAACGTTTTACTGTACTCTGCCAGCAAGTCACTCATCATAAGGCAGTTGTCCTTCTGAGACCGCAGCAGCTTAACCAGCTGAGCAGCAACTGCTTTCACCTGCTCCACCTCTGTGAGCGTGAGAATTTTCTCCTCCCCACATTCCAATACCTACAAAACAGAAATTACACTTTGCTGAAGTAATTTACCCAGTCTGTATGAAAAAGGTGTATTCTGCAACTAAAATCCAGTGCTTGCAGGCAACCATTTTCTATGCAGCAGGGCTCAGCTACCTCAAAAGATATCTATATAGCAAGGAAAGCAATGTAATCTTCAAAATACAACAAAACAGACAATTCAACAGTTAATCTTTTTAAAGCAAGCTTCACAGAACTGTAATTGAACTTAACTTTAATTTTGATGCTCTGAGTTCTGTAGATGTAATCCAATTTAGAAAACTTGAATTTGTTAACAAGCTTAGCCTGAATGTGCTAAAAACCTTATGTAACTTTACCATAATAGCTCTATCAAAAACTCTGAAATACATCTGCCTACCATTGCAGGTGCACACTTTATAACTCACACTAAGGTTAATATAAACCCTGCTGAAACAGTTGTACGTCTCAGAATAATGCTTTAGTACAGCTTAAGGATTTTAGAACTTACAAGTAAGACATCTGGTATGGCTTCAAAGAGTTCAAGTAGTTTTGTAAAACCATAGTAAGCGAGTTTGCACTGACGGCCAAAGTGGTGGTGGTAAGAAGGAATAAATTTATTGAAGGGCATTCGAAAATGGGGTTGATGCCGTAGTAAGTCTACCACCTCCTTAGAAAACTGTCTGGTTCTTTCAACTTCTTCTTGTGTACGTTCTAGAACATAGAAACACAATTATAAAAAATCCAAGCCACTCCTGTATACTTTACTCTGTACAGCTTCAAAATAGTCAATGACAATTTCTCTGGCAACAATAAAAAGTACATGGACGTACCTCTTTTGGGAATACAAATTACCATTTCATTATCTTGCTGTGACACACAGATGGTTGTATCTGGAATTTCTGATATAATATCAGCCAGCTCACACACTCCATACTCAGTAACATCCCAGTCCTTTGAGAAACACCTAAAAGATTTCAAAAATTATGCAATACAAGTATTAATGCATGCTGTGTAGGCAAACAGAATGACTAAATTGACAGAATAGTTTTCAAATCCTTAAAAAAAGAACTTAACTTTCATATTGGCAACGTGAAATATGGGAAAGTATTCTTAACGCAGATTAGCTATCCATTCTAACCAGAAAAATATAATACATTGATGGTTCACATAAAACTGGAAGGAAGAGAGCTATGTACCAATCTGTGGACACCTCAAACTAGCTGTAGCAATTGACAGAATTTTTCAAGCTCAGGTTTTAATTACATTTTTTAAAATCATGTATTTTATACAGTTCCATATGGCTACACTTTCAGTAGTCTGTATTTACTCAGTAGTTACAGACATACACTCTTCTTAAAGATGATGAGGTCTCAGGAAAGGGCAGAGCCCATGTCCTGGAAACACCATATTAAGACTCACAGTATTATGTAACATATTAAAAGGTATTTTAGCCATCCCATGTTCCTGACAAGAACCTCCCAGAAGCAGGAACACTGTACATATATTCTTATTAAAAAATGTCCAGAGCTGACTACAATGGAGATAGACATTTAGTAGACTTAGAAACAACTAGTGTATTTTTGCCAGTTGTGGCAATATAAACATGCATTCCCCGAAAGGAGCTGTTGGCACATGCAGCACAAGGGTCTACATGCAAAGGTAAAACACACGTAGCACTAAGATGCTATGGTTTCCTCAAAACACATTAAGTGCTACCTTCTACCTTGATATTAAAGAAACCAGCATTCTTGGTTTTTCAGAAAAAAAAAAACTACTTTTACCAACACTAAAACAGAATGCTCTTCCTGGCAACAGCAAGACAGGTATAGACCCTCATTTCTGCACCATTGCTAGACCCAGTTAAAGAGTACATGCTGACAATCAGTCTATTTTATATTTCCCTTGTAAAGAAAGGCTAGCACAAAATTTTCCCTTTATTGTTCACGTGTCATAACCTGCTTGCTTAAATCCAACCTTGCAGTCATGGCCTCAAAACTAATGAAATACAATAACCCATTTCAAACTCCAATAAAGTTAATGAACTAAGTACTAAAGGAAGCAGTAAAGTCTGCCAGAGCTTTTAGTTTGTTCTCATTAGAAGTCTGAATATCCACAACACAACAAAGAGGCAATACAGTTGCCACAGTCTTGCGCTAAAATTTAAGTGCTGACTTCTCTTCCATTAGCTTTTAAAATCACCATTGATGGGCATGTCTGCACAGTTATTCTTCTTCCATTACAGATAACTTACCAGTGATAAGCCTGTAAGAATTCCCTCACAATAACCTGCTTACTGGCCTGGGATTTGAGGAGCTTCAGTAGGTCTTGAGTGAAGCGCTTCACCTGAGCTCTGTGCGTTAGAGTTAACAAGCGTTGGGAACCCATACCAAGAATCTGAAAAAAAAAAAAAAAAAAAATTTGGTCACTCATCTAGCATCCTCAGTAAATTCTGTTACAATATACTTAGAATTCAGTTAGGTAGGCCAAAAAGAAATGATGTAATAAGGCAGCGTTTGGAAAGGCAGACTTACAAAGCCATATACTGTATGTGCTAAGGCCCGTGTCATCAAGACATGAAGAAATGCTTCCTCCATGAGATCTAGTGCAACTGCTGTACATTGGTATTGGTCATTTTAAAATTCTAGGGCCAGCTGGTGTTCAAAGTCCTAAACTAATGTGACCATTGTGTTTCTTTTTTGTAACAAAGCCACATGACTTATTTCACACAGAAATCCTTCAGGTGGCAGACTATGAATCAGTTTAATTTACAAGCACTAAGCATTTGCTGCCTTTGTAGGACAAACAGCACAATTAAAACCTTTTGTGCAAGCACTAGCCACAGGCTAAAAGCAGCTTCAAACTCTTTTCCAGAGGCTCAGATTAAATAGTTAATTTCCTCAGAAGTTGTTTTGGAAGGACAAGGACCATAAAAACAGTAAAACCAGAAACATCTCAAGGAAGACAATTACACTTCAAGGTTCAGTTAACTATCCCTTTCGAAGCGGACTGGGTAAGTAAGGTCTGTTACACAACACCAACCAGGAACTCAGGCAGTTGAAGATAACTCCCCAGTGAAAGGGAAGCGTGCCGTAACCCACCTGCAGTACGTGAGGCACTGCTTCCAGCAGCTCCATTAGCTTAGAGAACCCGTAGTCAGACACACGGCACTGCTTTGCAAAGTGGTGATGGTACGTTGGGATGAATTTACTGACAGGTATGACACAGGAGGGCTGGCTTTTCAGGAGATCTATCACTTCTCTACTGAACTGGATAAGCTGTGGATTACCCACAGGGCTCTTAGAACGCAGAAGCCAAGGATCTACCAAAAAAAATAAATTGAACCTTTCATTAATATTCTTCCACTAAATACTGCAGGCTAGAGCACAGAAGACAAAAAAAAGAACATTCCAGCTAGAAGTACTTCCTTATGAGAGGTTCAACAATTATACAAGATGTTTACTTTATGTTGCTTTTAACTTTTTTAGCAGAAGGATTAGTTCAGAGAAAAGATTTTAACTATTTACCTGTAGTAGGTGGTGGTGGTTTGTTATGTATCCACTTAATAATTTTAATACCATTTTGGGCAGTGGCAATGTTAACTCCAGGAACACAGGTAATTAGATGTTCTAAAGGAACGCCACCCTGGCCTTCTGGTACCACTTCAAGATCATTGAACTCTGACATATAACAATCAGGAAAACTTTGGAAATAGAAAAAAAAAGCTTTCATTAAACACTGAATTACCACTGTAACAACGGTTCTACAAATATTATTTTGAGACACTTCCTGAGCAAGAGGCTTAGGCTTCACCAGCTTACTGATACATTACAGGAGTCTTCATAAAATGCACATTCAAAATAAGTGTGTTTTATTTGCTCCACAAGAACAAGTAGTATTACTTTCATAAGGCACTTATTTACTATAAAAGATACCACCTGACATAAGAACTGCAGTTTTTATACAAAAAGTGGTTTCAGAGCATTATGAACAGACATCAGTGAAGTTTTAAATCTTTAACCTATCAACTTTTACACTATAAGTCTAAATTAAAATACTTTACCTTAATAAAGGCACGGTACCCTCATGTGTCTGTAGAAGACTATGAACTTGGGGAGCAAATGTCTTGAGAGACAAAATCACAAAAGGTATTCTATAAGAATCTGGATCAAAGTCATGCTCACTGTAAAAACAAGAGGTTGAAGTTTATATGCTCATTCTACACACTGCTTTAGCCTGTGCTCACATATATACCCTTAACAGACATTACATTATATGCATACAATGTACAGCTACTAGCTGGCAATACCACTGTATACCATCATTAGCAACTTGCATCTTTTCTTCTTCTAGAGGTCTGCTGTAGCTGTATTTTTGTAGAGACAGGCAACATTGAGAAGACCACATTGGTATTATCATTAGATTAGAAATTTTAAATTAGGTTTTAGCAGCACAGTTTTAACCAGTCAGTTAACAGTGAACACTTAACTGCTCTAGTAGCACAAGCTGGCTGCTGTTGAGTAAAACAAACTTAATATATGGCTTCAGGAAATATTCAACCCAGTATGAATCATTTACTAAATGCAGCTGGAGGACAAAGAATAATACTCAGTTTCAGCTATAATTATGTAACAAAACTCAGGCTAATAGAAATCTCTATTATGTATAAACCTTCCTATATAACCGGGGAAAGGTAGCGTACACCTTTCAGCTTCTGCTTAAGAAGTATTCATGCTTGGCAGCTGTGGTAGAACACAGGAACCTTACCTCAACAGACTGATCCATGAGAGCTGCCTTACTCTGTGATCCCACTATCTTCTGCCTGACTTACTCTTGTAAACATAAACCATGACAGGACCACACTAAGAACATATATACCTCAACTTTAATATACCTGTAAGTGTTAAATGCTGTTCAACTATTTAATAAGATTTTATAGTATTTTATACACAGCTTACATAAAGTCTTTATTCAGGCAATGCTGCTTACAAACAGGCTCGTGATACTCCAACTCTTCAAACACTATAGGGCTGCAGTTAGCTGATGAGCCATCATGTGACTGTGAGGATCCCAATGGGCTCTGCCGGGCCTGGCTGCTGGGCAGGAGGCACACCAGCCGCCCGCTGCCCTGGTCACGGATTGCCACAGTATCTGTGAGCTTGGACAGGTCTGACACAGCCAGCTTACGCCCGAATCTGGAAGGAAAGTTAAATACAGGCACGTGATAAACGCAGTTAAGGGAATGCAGTAATCTGCATTTTTTCAGGAATGCTCTAAGAACTCCTCCATGCAAAATATTAAACATCACCTCTGCATAGATGACATGCTGCAACATCTAACACCAACACTCCCTTCTGTTCACGTCTACAATTTACTGTAAGCAACCACAGACGATCTGATTCTTTTTGGGAAAGTACTAGAGAAAAAACAACCAATAACTTACTTTTTCTCATAGATCTCTGTGAATTTGAAGACAGGCAGACAACAAGCAGGTGCATCCTGCAGAATGGACATGGTTTCTGAGCTATAAAAGAAGTTTTGTAATATTAGCACAAAACCTGTTAGCGTAAGTCCAGAGCCCAAACTGGCTTGAGCCCGTATTTACAGATGCAGTTTATGAACTATAAATGTAACAGGATAAACTGCATTCGATTTGCAGATTTCAAGCACCTGTAAAATGCAAGACTAAAGCTCCAGCATTGGAATTTACCACTGTGGTCATTACATTAAGACCTTTAAACAGACAAATTAAAAGGCAAGAATGAAATAAAGTTGCCAATTATACAAGGGTAAACAGTACATAATTGTAGAATATTCAACACTCCAAGCACTACTTGCACTGCAGCTTTCTGTGAAAAAAAAGACAATTTTTCTTAATGCTTTAAGAAATGAAACAGAAAACACTTGTATTCTCACTAGCATCAGCACTCTAGTTCTATCATCTTCCATATAGAAAATGGAGATCAAAGAAACACCACCAACATTTAAACTTCATGTCCCATCTCCAGAGTAAATTCATACGCACTGTCTCGGAGGAGAGAAGAAATAAATAAGCCAAGTGTAATCTTAGCCACACAAACTAAGTTATTGAGGTATATCAGTATTATGGAAGAGTAGTGGTGAAACTATTAAAGACTATTAAACAGAGGTCTAATCTCTTCAGGTGCAACTTAAAATACAAGCAGTGTAAAAATGCTAAACTGAAAACAAGCCCAGTTGGTTTTAACACATTCATCACGTCCAAAGACAGATTTATTTTTTTTTTTTTAATTTCCCTATCATTCCTTTGCTTTTTAAAGATGATTTTATATCATCTCTCAGCTACTAAATACATGCTAGAACAATTAAGACGATGCCCAAGTGTTTATTACCTAAGTAGAGAGAGTGATTTATTAGCAGTTCCTGTTGCTAATGAGACTTGGATCCTTTTGCTGCCAATTTTGTATCTGTGAAGGCCACTGACAGCGCTGATCGCTTCTTGCAGATTTTCCATCTGCACCGTAGCTTTCAACTGGTAGTCTGTATGAGGACTGAGCTCTACACTTTTAACCTGGAAGGAAGAACACACTTTATACATTATCACAAAATATTAACCCAAGGCAAGCCAAAATTAGAGTAGTACAGTCTTGCTTTGGCCAAGGGCCAAAAAGGGACAAAAGGAACAGAATATGAGCAGCTATGGCAAATAGGACAATGCAAACAAGAACCACGTGCAATGAGCCATGGCCAATGCAAGACCACAATATTCCTTTAACACAAGCATCAGCTTCCCATATAGAAGATTATGCCAACAGAATGTCATCTACAGATCAGAAAGAAATAGGACTGCTGCAGAAAGGACCTCTACTTGCATAGGTGCTTTTTACTGACTCATGCTCTCCATGTCTGGTTTTGATCACTTCAGATTTAAAAGAAAGTCCGTTTATGTTTTAGTCAGTTTTTGTTTTTAAGCTGATGTTAGGAATTCAGCTTGACAGGCTTCATAATCTTTTTAAGCTAAGTCTCTTCTTTGCATGACTAATAAGCCACAATTTTCTATACAAAATGTGAGAATACTGGACTTATGAAGACCACATGCAAATTAAAAACCACGTGCAAGTGGTGACCTGGTCTCTTAAAAGTAAAAACACAATAGCTCCTTTGAGTTTAGAAGTCACTTCTGGGTTGCTTGCTATTCCTACTGACTTTAAGCTACACTAAAAACACGTGCATAAATACACAAACAGGAAGTATTAAAAAACATTCAGTAAAGGTATTTTAGCCTTCACCTTGCCATGTCTTGAGAAAATTTCTTGTATATTTTGCTGCAACTCTTTTCTGGACAATCTGTAATCTATATTGCTGATCTGAATGTCTGCACCATTTGCAAAAGGATCGGGGCAGTCTGTACCACTGGTATGATTTACCACATTAAACGTGAGTGGAGATGATCTATTTGAGAGGCTTGGAGACATACTCCTGAGTAAAAGAAAAAACATTTATAAGCTAAAGCAGCCATTGGATAATTCTGATATATACATCTCAGAGTTAATCAGAAAACAGACACAGGTCAAATACAGAAATACAGCACTATAAAGTTATTTTCCTAGTGCATATGTGTGCAGGCAAAACAAATTTCACTACAAGCAAGTCATAACAAGACAACTATTTCCTGTGAGAAGAAAGGAAATAATTTATATTATGTTCCAAAATCACCAAATAATATATTTGACACCAAGTCTACTATATTACCAACATGTTAAAGTCAAACTCATTCATGTTATTTTAATAATTGGCAAAAGCCAGATATTAGGTCTACAAGGATTTAATGGGCCTGGACAAATTTCTACTAGGAATGTCAAAGGCACTAAAATGAAGAAGAATAAGATGCCTATAATAACCACTGAAGATTCTTTCAAAAGCTTTAAAAGACAAAGTTTGCAGGAAACAATTGCCACACCGAGTCTCTGAAAAAGAGTTCACTCCATCCTATATTTACATCACCCCTCTGTTAGCCAAATGCATCATCCCTCTGTTAGCCAAATGCAGCATCATCAGGGTTTCCTTTGGCTTCTGCTTTTATCAGAGTATTAACATGCTTGGCACACACAGCTCCATATGTGGCTGTCAGGTGCAATGTCTACACTGCTGAAGTCTCACCTCCCCTCCCGAAGACGACAGCGATGCTTACCGAGATGACCAGCAGCTCTGAGACATGAGTAAAGGACTGAGCTGTCTTGAGGCCGTCAGCTTACTGAAAGCAGAGGGGTAGCTGATCTGAAATACAGCTTCATCTTTATCTACCGGGGAGTTGGTAATGCTCCTGGAACTGCAGGCCTCTCTTCTATTTACAAATATATATAAGCAAAAGAAAACACATTATATTGCAGAATCCACGTAAAAATGTAGCTAACATGACATTTTATTTTTAAACATACTTCTGACTATTTTTACAAGATGATTCTTCTGTTCCAGTTTTTTTGGTTGCCAGAGACCCAGGAATCGCTGCATTAGAGTTACTCTGAGGAGAAGGAATTTGTTCTCTTAACTGTTCTTGCTGATTCTCATTATTTCTACTGATGGTCTTTGATTCAAGGCAGCACAGCTCCTACACGGAACAGATAGAAGGTCAGCATAAAAGCACCAGATATCCCTTCTCAGAGGCTTTCCTTCTGCTGAATATCTAAATAACTTATACATTTTTCTCTAATAGCATTTTCATTGTCATTTCATAACCAGGAATATTTGATTTTCTGTGATAGAAAACAGTGAACTGTCAATTAGTTGAAATACTTTTGCTACACTGTAGACCTTTAAGGAAAACTGCAGTTTTCCTTAAAACTAGGAAGAGTAGATCACTCTAGATGTTATACACAACACCAATACAAAAGTCAAAACTGCCCTAGGATTTGAGACTTGGTAAGTACCAGCAGCTTTTCCAAACTGAGAAAATGGTGGCAGGTAGGAGGAAAAACCCTCAAGTTCATTTTCTGCTTTCCAAGCAGATGAATACAGCTCTCATTTGGGAATGTCACTACACATTACAGTTATTCACTAAATAGGACTAACAGGTTAAAAATAAAGCTGTAACAGAAGCAGTCCTCAGAACATAAGGAAAAGCAAGAATACTAAACAAGGTGAAACACCAATACCTGTAAACTTTTCACATTTGTGGGTTTGATGATAGATCCATGTATCTGGAATCCTCTCCCAGCAGAGCCTTTGGTACCAGAAGACTGATCACTTGAGTCTTTGTTGAGGAGGCACAGCTTTATGTTCTTATTAATTTTTTTTGGAGACTTTACCTTTTCAGTTCCCACAAAGCTGGAGTTTTTTGTTTCATTAAGTTCTTTGCTTTTGGGAGTAAAAGACACTACAATCCTGTTACCAAAAACATCTTCATTTTCCATTCGCTTCCGAGCCCGTTCAGCACTTTCCTGATTTAAAAAACGGAGAATGGCACTGCTTCCAGAAATGCTCAGCACCTTCCCTCCACAGTTGTCTGACAAACGCCTGAGCCTGTTACTGACACTTTTGCTGTCTCTGTTTGTTGGCAGATTATAAACATATAATAGTGTATGGCACGCCTGTTTAAAAAGAGTAACATTTTATGTCAGAGTATCCTCTTGTTCAAAATCGATATTTTTACATTGATTCTGGTGACACTCTCCCCCCAGGTAATTCTTTTTGCAGGACTCGACTTGTCTGGAAAACTCACACCAAGGTAAAACCTTGAACTTCCATCTCCAATGTATTTTAAAGTTAGAAGAGATTGCAGAGTCACTAATCAAAGGAACAATACTTGATCACTTTGCCAGATAAGGAAGCATTACTGCTTGCTACCCAAGAATTCTACATGTTCTACACATGCATGTGAACACAGTTCACAAAGTTATTTCAAAGAAAGAAAAGTCTGTGAATGTGCAAAAACAACATAGTAAATCCAAAGCAAAACATCAGGCAGAAAAACCAAAACCAAATCAAAACAAGAAAACAGTAGCCAGTCACTCAAAACCGTTAAGAAAGCATCACAGCACTGTCTTAATGCACAAGTTCTTACCCCGACTTTCTGCCAGTGAAAAGCATTTCTTTCTAATGCAATTTCTACCTGATTTAAGATGCGTTATATGATAAAATACTTAGTGATAATAACATGGCCTTGCTGTTTTAATTGATTACTTTTATTTATTCATTCTTTCAGTCTTAAAGGAGAAAGCATACATTCACATGGTAGTAACTGAAATACAGACAATGGTCAAATATGCAGCAGCCATCACGTCTCACCATATACCCACTGCATTCAGCCTGCTCTCCCCATAAATGAGAAACGAAAAAGGAAGTTGGCACTTTGGAATGTCTGTTGCATTAAGAATTAAAAACCTTACCGGTATTTTCAGTGGTAACCTTGGTGGCAAATCTGAAATAAAGTCTTCAAAACAAATGAGCTCATGAGCATGATGTAAGAGTGCGTCTGAAGCTTGATTTTTATGTACCAAGATGATCCGAAAACCATGTCGATGTCTCAGGTCACTGAGTTCCAAAGCAAAGTTTACATCTGCTGCAGAAAAAAAAGAAAAAATAGTACCAAAAAAAAAAAGTATGAAAATGCTAAAAAAATTCAGATTAAACAAACAAAACCACACATCTCACTTGAGAAGTTCTATTTATCACTGAAAACTGCCAATGAAAATGCACCAACAGTTACAAGGCTTCTCAACAGACAGACAATTTAAAAGAGCAGTTGCATTTGGTCCCAAACAATGGCTTCCTTTTCATAGCAACTGCCAGTAACTCATCAGCAAGGCACTCGACTGGTACTGTACACTTCTGTAACACATTTGTTTAGCTTTAGGGAGAAACCCGAGCAACACATGGCAATTAGTTGAGTGGCTTGTATATTTAACTGTATAATATGCTGCTACAAGAATAAAACAAATCAAATGCATCTTGCTCAAAGCATTCTGAAACATTACCATAAGGAAGACTGTTTTACTTGGTTAGCTTCCTGTTGAAGCTGTCTAACTTTAGACAATATCTATACAAGACACCAGATTCCAATGATGATTTAACTAAGCCAAGTTCTCATCTTACTGACTCTACTTTTCCCTTGCTGCCACTGAAATTATTAATTATTCTTGAGCAATTCAGTTAAAGTTCCTTCTAAACACAACCCTTGGAAAACAGAATAGCCTCACAGGCAGAAGTAGTGCTGAAGAGCAGAACTGAATTCTGTGCTGTAGATGAGTACCACTTACTTGACACAAGAACCACAGTGGCAGGTGCAGTGTGTGTGTCAGCAAATCTCCTAAGGCTCTGTCTGAGTTTGTCATCAGCAGCATTCTTTGCTGTAGCATTGATGTGTGCAACAGTCACCTGTGGAAATACACAGATGTAATCTAAAGAAAACCCTGAATGTTAACTATGCTTCCTTAAATTTTAAAAAATTAACATAAATACAAGCTCTTACATGCACCTTTTATTAAGAAAAATTAATGCACACATGCATGAAATACAAAGTGTATAACCTCAGACTATTCCAGTTAGTGATAAACTTCAACCCATAGCTGCTCAGCAATGTCTTAGGAATGACCTCCACTGTTCGACGTGAAAGATCAATTTATATACCTTACAAAAACTCCATAAACACTCATTTGAAACAGACAAGTGACAAACATAACAAGTACTTACTATCAATTCATTTTACTTCACATAAGCAGCTAAACTGTCAACCTGTTACTGTATCTGTAATTTAGGGTGTTGAATGGGGATTTCTGACTAACAAACAAAAAAAAGTTAAATACTAAGAAAGAAAAGGTATTGATAGAAAAAAAATGTAGTGTTACAGGTGTCTCAATCACTACCACTAATTTACAAGCGCCCTCACTAATCAGCACAGTATTCACTAACAAGAGTAAAAAACATTATGTTCACAGGCTCATAGTTCTTTTAGGTTCATGGTTTAATCACAGATTTGAAGGGTAACACTAGAAACACCACCACCACTTATTACTGGATGAAACCAGAATCCTCTGTGAACACTAAAACAAAAGCTAAACCAGGAATCTATGTACAATGGAATGTAGGTTCAGTTTTAAAAAGTATCACACCAGGAAAGTTCAGCATTAAAGGCTACACTCTGGTAGGTTAACCCTGGCTGAGCAAGAGATGCCCACCAAGCCACTCTAGCACCCTCCCCTCCTCCACAGAGCTAACAGGGAAAAGAAAATAAGATGGAGACAAAACCTTTGTGGGTAAAACCAAAGGCAGTTTAATTGAAAAGCAAAGCCGGGCAATGCTGTGTGTGGAACTGAAGGAAAAAAGACCAAAAGACTTATTCTCTATGTCCCATCTGCAGGCAATGTCTGGCCCCTTCCTGGGAAGCAGGGCTCCGAAACACACAGCATTTGCTCCGGAGGACCAAGGATTAGCCAGCCCTCCCCCCTCACCCCTTTAACTAGCTTTATAGCTGAGCTGATATCATATGGTCTGGAATATCCCTTTGGTCTGTTCAGGTCAGCTGCTCTGGTTATGTTCCCCCCAGGCTCCTGCCCCCCCATCCCACTTGGGGGAACATCAGAAAGAGCCTTGGTGCTGTGCGAGCACTGCTCAGTGGTGCTCACAACATGGGTGTTACCAACACCCTTCTGACTCCCAACACCCAAACACTGTGCCAGGAGGGCTACAATGGGAAAATCAGCTCAGCCAGACCAAATACATCCACCTGTGAACTGATTATAAGCTCATGCACTACAACACAGAGAAGCTAACAAGCTTTAGTGAACAGGAATCACTGCTTGCACGCACAGTACAAGTTCAAGCGAGAACACTAAGTAGATGCTGTTGCAATACCTGGCAGTTGTTTAGTTCCTGAATAACTTCTTTATTTTCTTTACTAATGTCACAGACACAGATGAATTCTGCCTCTCTGTGACCTTTAAAAAACTTTTCACGAATCCTCTGTACAACTGCTACAGCTGAACGTCCAGTGGGAACTGAACAGTTTTCAATATCCCAGAAGACTCCAATGGGGGGCAAGTTTTCCAGAACTTGGCCTGTTATTGCAACTTCCGGAGATCCTGTTTAACGACAGGTTTAACGACACTTCATTTTAATCTCCAAATACCAAACAAGTTAAACTTAGCATACTATAAACTTTGCACATGGAAAGCTTTGTTTCAGAGAATGACATACCCAGGAATGCAAATTCAGTTTTAGTTTCCTAAGAAACCTAAAGAAAGCATCACTCTTAAAACAGAAATTTAGTCACAATTAAGTCAGGATAAAGATGCAAGACAACTTCACCTTAACTTTTAAGCTTTCAGACAACCAAGTAATGCATTAAAAAAACCCTTATCAAATGCTGAGGTGGAACGTGCCACGAAAATTGAAGCTGAGTCACAATAAACTCAGCAGGTGCTCTATCAGTAACAGAAATGAAACATGAAAGCTGTTCAAGTTTACAGTGTGCATTAGATAACGAATTTGAACAAAACTGGATGAGATTATCAGTATAGAGGCAGTGATTATAGAAAGTTAAGGCTGCATGGAACAAACACAAAGGTATCCTACAGTTCAGGAGAGTGAGGTTAAGAGTTTTTGCTATTACAGGCTAAGAGGTACAAAAAGTTTCTGTCATTTTAGCACTCTGAATCTCTATTAAATTTTGAATTAACATTATAGACCCACTCCAACCCCACAAAACAGGAAGAGAAACAAGGAATGACAGAATCATCACAGGTCAAAAACAAGCTAAGAATTAAATTTAGCCAAGAAGATAAAATTAAGGACAACAGACAAATGTAATATTTTGGGGATATATGTTTGGGGCTAGTTATTATTCTATGAGATTCACTGGAATTGCACTTTGTAAGGACAATTGTTTCACCCAGAAAAAACTAAAACCAAATGTGGTCTTAAAATCATAGTAAAACTGTCCAACTTATTCTTATTCCGTGACTTTCATGTTTATAACTTTCATACTAGCTATGATTTTTTTAATTGAAGCACTACTAACACTGTAGAAAGATGTAATTATTTCACACAGTATTTTCCTCTCATGAACACTCAGGAGGAAAAAAGCTACAGTATAATGATAAACATTACACCTTTACTGCATATGAAGCAACAAGACACTATAGACTAAAAAGAATGCTTTTCAAAGTATGGATGAAGATAATTTCTTTATATACCACCAGAATGGAATAGCTTCCAGGACCTTAGAATTTTCTTTTTCTAGTTCTTAAAATGGTAAAAAAAAGAAAAGATCAAAACTCTAAGCAAACAATACAGTAAGTTAACTAGGTAGTCAAGACAGGTAAATCCAAGCTACAACCCTGCAAAACAGAAGCAAGCTATTATTTACTGTTTCATCTACGACCTCACAGAATTTTCTAGAAAACAGTGCAATCTAAGAGAAGCTGACATGTGCAACAGTGTTTAAGAGGACACCCACTAAGTGCAAGTTTCAGACAGATGTGGTTTACCATATTTCTGTGGTGATGTGCCAAGGCTGCTTGCCAGCAGCAAGCTCTTCTCCCGCCCTGCTCCCTTGCTTCCACAGCCGTTACAAACTGGGATAGGAACAGGTGCGCTCTGTGCACTTGGAGGAGGAATATTTGGCCAGATTTTAGCAGCATCAACTAAGCTGTTTCTGGTTGGCTGTTGGGACAAATTTTTCAAAACATGTTCATTTAGTATACAACATTAGCACATACCATTCCAAGCTAGAAATGCTCAAGTTTCCCTTCTGCAACAAGTTCAGATGTTCTCTACTGAGTCAATTAATAATATTAGCACATGAAGCAAGCTTGTGTCCTGGAGTCTCTCCTAGCACACTTAGCTTTAGATTGCCAAATGCAAGGAAAGATTCTACTAAAGATGCGTGTCTTCATGTGCAGAGTTTAAGTAGTACCAGTAGGCATTCTAAAAAAATCCCACCAAACTAAGAGTACAAGGTTGAATCGCCTCCCTCTCCTTAAAAATAGTGGTCATACTTACAAACACATGGAATTCACCATTCAGTTTACTGAAGACATTTCACTTTTACACTGGAAACCTCAAATTTGGGGTTTTAAATAACAGATCTTGCAGTGCTAAGTATATTATTTCACTTGACATTCCCATTAGAATTCAAGCACAGCTTTCATCAGTTCTCACGTGTACCAAATTGGTATTGATGTATAAATTACAGAACTGGGAAGGCTGAACTAAGATCTATCAAACCTGACCAAAATGAGAATATCATAGCATGAGACATTTCACTTGCAAATAGAGCTTTAGTGGTCAGTGGCCCAATGGTACACGTTAACTGTTGTTAGCCTTCTCAGAGTCACTACTACAGAACATTTTAATGGGAGCTATCAAGAGAGAAACCAGACCAAATTCTGCTTGAGTACATTACAGAACCCCTGTAAGCTAAACTTTTCTGACAGCCTCTTTTGTCTTCCTATTGAAACGATATCCCTTTTCTGAGGGAGCAATCTCCAGAAAGGGTGTCTGGTACATTTGGACCGTGCCTCACCAACTTGGAGGATGCAAGGCACAACCCACAGAGGCTGGTGTTTTGCTCAGGTAACATCACTTCAACATTCACCACGTAGCACGCTTAAGGAATGAGGAAGGGGCTGGGTACAAACCTTGCTCAAGCAGTCACTGCAGTAGTGAGAGCCCTTTAAACAAACGGAGGGTGCCATGTTTAGGTGCAAAGGGTTGGTGCACACACGTGATGTTAGCTCTGGCTGTGCAACACGCTCATCCAAGTGGCCTGGATCCCCACTTGTGAATTCAGAACAAGGAAAATAGCCAGAAGATGGGCAGCTCTGAAGGGCTGGAAACTGATGCAGTTTGTGCACGTTACCATGACAGGACTGGAAATGGATTTTTCCACAACAGGGCAGATGTTGACAGGAAGACACACTGTTTTCTATGCACATGCCAGGGAACTCACTCGCAATGTCTGCCAAATGACTTCGAGCTGGAGGGTTCTTCAGTGAAGATGCAGACTGGTAGGCAAATCCTGACCCTACTTGACAAGTAACCGTCCCAGTGCTTTCTGAGTCTAATACTGCGCCAGGGTGAATCAAGCTACCACCACCACCACCACAATGCATTTGTGGAGTACAAGAAGAGTCAGAGCCATGAGCACAGCAGCTTACTTTCAGGCCAGGTGAAAGCTGTACTTGCTGTTGCTGAAGAGGATGAACATCAGGAAGTGGTACTGCTGGAAACAGTTTAGAGCCAGCATTATGAGGAGATGAAGTATCCTTCAATTCTACAGCAGCTTTCTTGTTCTCCATGTAATCCTTCTGGAAAATAAAAGCTCGGTTACATTCAGATACATAACTAAGCCAGCAATTCTATACTATAAACAAGCATAGTTTTAGACTGTTACAATTTCAATGGTAACAGAAGTTTTGAGAACACTTATCTTTATAATTACTAATACCTTGCTGTCTAAATATATAAAATATGAAAATAAACAGGCCAGTTACACATGCCTGCCTGAAGTATATCAGTGGATTTCAGAAGCAACAAAACCAAAAAGCTATAGACCAAATAGCAATGGGGCTGTAAAACAGAAGAATTTGAAAAGCAGAAAACTGTTCCGCTGAGGCTGACATACCCTGGAATTGGGCAGCAAAAAAAGATTATTTCTTCTAAGAGCAAGCATAGATGGGTGTGATATAAAGTAAAAAAAATCCCCATAGTTAGGAGGTGCATCAACAATCATCTTTTACTTTGAATAAATATTTTAAATTTGTATTAAAGTTTTAGAAGCAATACATTAGAAGACTAAGACTTAAAAAATAGAAATTATATCAAGATGGTAAACTGAGAGGATTGAAAAGACTACATTTTCACAACAACTCTGTAAGTGCTTCTTACCTACTCTGATTTAAGACTTCAAGGTTTAGAGACAAGGCATAGGCAGAAACACAGGGATTTTTTAAATGGCACCAGTGAAAAAGCAAATTTTTGAGCTGCACCAGAACAGTCAAGGGCAGTGGAGCTAACCTGCACACAATTCATTGCTCCAGGGCTTTAAGCCAACACTCCCAAACAACTTTCACTTTCCAAATTGAATTTAATGCATTTCCTACAACACAGTAATGAATAATTGATTATCCAGGTTCAAAACCTTTCCTCTGTACCTGCTGCCATGTCTTACGAATTGAAGATACACTCTGCTAAAAATCTCTCTGGAACTGGTTTATGTGTACTCCAGAATTTATGGCAGCTCCATTCCTAACCCCACTGCATGAGAACTGCAACACAAGAGGTACGTGCTTAACTGCTTCCTCCACCTCTTTTACTGAAAGTGAGATTGAACATGTGTGAATGACAGTCACATAAAAGCTGGAGCTTGCTTGCTCAAACCATTTTTCTTCACACCCTCTCTCAAACATATAGAAACAGACAGTTATAGAACAGGAACATTGGAAGAAATGGAAACAAGGAAGAATCAGATGTTCATGAAGAACAGTATCCACAACTGCTGTAACTATTATACATAAATTATTTATATTTCTATGTATTACCTACATTAAACTATATATCTATTATTCAGAATAATAATTATAATAAAAATAAATACGCAAGTATTCAGAAAATTCTAAATTTGCCTCCAAACTAAATTGGTAAAAATCAGGAAGCATGAAGGTTACTTTCCTAGCTTATTCTTCGGCAATCACTTCATAGAGCTTTCAGGAAGCTGCCTTACACACATTTTAAGCAGCCATCTGCACTAGTCCAACCCGAGCTGTAGGCAGTGAAGCCTGTCAAGCAAAGCAACGTGCCTGCTTCCACCAGCAGTGACAGGAGAGCTGCGAGCACAGCTCAACACCGCGAGTGGCAGGGGGGGGCAGGGACACCGC